TGCGCGCGCGCGCGCGCCATCACTGAGGATTGAACCCAAGGCTTCCTACATGGGAGGCAAGCACTCTATTACTAAGCTATACTCTACCCCCACTGTCATAGTTAGCTTTCACTGCCAACTTGACACAAACTTAGGTACCTGGGAAGTGGGAACCTCAACTGAGGAATGTCTTTATCAGATTGGTCTATGGGCATGTCTGTGAGACATTTTCTTAATTGTTAATTGATGTGAGAGGGCCCAAGTCACTGGTCGGTGCTGTCTCTGAGCAGGTGGGCCTGGGTAGTATTAAAAAAGGTTGCCGATGCCGGACGTGGTGGTGCACGCCTTTAATCCCAGCACTCAGGAGGCAGAGGCAGGTGGATCTCTGTGAATTCAAGGCCAGCTTGGTCTACACAGTAAGTTCCAGGACAGCTGGGGCTACAGGGAGACCCTGTCTCAAAAAGACCGAAAAAAAAAAAGGTTGCCTAACAAGCCAGGGGAAGCAAGCCAGTAAGCAGCGTTCCTCCATGGTCGCGGCTTCAGGCCTGCCTCCAGGTTCCTGCCTTGGCTTCCTTCACTGATGCACTATAACCTGTACGCTGAAGTAAACCCTTTCTAAGTTGCTTTTGGTCATGGTGTTTATCACAGCAACAGAAAGCAAAACAGAACATCCATTATATCTTATTTATCTCCCCCACCTCCACCCATCTGTGCTCTTGTCTCTTGGCTCAAGAAAGGTCAGGGCCAAGGCAGATCTCAGCCCTTGGCAGCCCTTCTGGAACCCTCATGTAGCATGACTGTTACCGGCAACCCGGTGGCTACAGACTAGCCTCACTCACCCACTGTTTTGGACTTGCAGTTACTTGCCAGAACTTTGAAATTGGGAGCTTTCACATCAAACCTGGATTTCTAGCCTCTCTGGGAAACCTAGCAGATGTGAATACACTAGCCTGCTTGCTCAGCCCTACCTTCTGTCTGGAAGGACTTTAAATGCTTCCATTCATCTGGGGCAGATGTCACCAAACCCCATTCCTTTGCCTAGGGTATGACCATTCATAAAAGATAGAGCCAAGGTGAAGTGTTTGTCCAGTTGATTCTACAGTCTGTGTTCTCATCAATTCACAAAATAACTTGAAATTTGAGAAAGTCTTTCTCTTTCCTATTTTAGTACAGAAATTGTTTTTACATTTATATATTGATTGATTTGTGTGTGTGTGAGAGAGGCAGAGAGAGACAGAGAGAGAGAGAGACAGAGACAGAGACAGAGACAGAGAGACAGAGAGAGAGAGAGACAGAGAGAACTTTAGGGACTAGATTCTCTCCCTCTACCATATGGGTCCCAGGGATCAAACACAGGTTGTCAGGATGGACAGCAAGCACCATTACCTGCTGTGCTATTTCAAGGGCCAGGGTACATAAATTTTATACAAACACACACACACACACACACACACACACACACACGCACGAGGAGGATGGGGAGTGAGGAGAGAGAGAGAGAGAGAGAGAGAGAGAGAGAGAGAGAGGAGAGAGAGACGAGAGAGAGAACACTAGAGTTGCTATTTGAAGTAGAAAGCCATTATAAATGTATAACCTTCTTCATCCCAGTTTGTCTAGCTTTCCATTGTGGCTTTTTTGCCCTCACAGCCTCTGGAGGGAGGGGGTGGCTTTCTCCAAAAGGAGGATTCTTGGCCACATCTCCTGGGGAAAAGGAAGGAAAAGGAACCTAGAGCTCCCTGGACTCTTTGAGCCCACAGCTGACCTCACACTTAACACTGATGGTCACGCTCAGAGCATCTTTTCAGTGAGATGCTAATATTATCTTAATGACTCTAAAACATAGATATCTTACATATTTGGGCATCTACAAGTGATGTCTGGCCATTATAGTTTGCTGAAGTTTTTATTTCATAGAAACATGTAAAACCATTGCAATCTTACCATCAATGGTACCTTATTCAGTGAACTGAGAGATGTTTCTAAAATTAGAAAAGGCATGAATCCCTGAAAGAAGATAAAATAAGTGTTCATAGGCAATATAATTATACACTTTTTAAAGCCAACTGATGGCTGTTCAAACTAATGCTGACAGCTGCTCAGAGAATAAAGATGTGGGACTCGTACACCAGCAGTAATCACTAAGCTGTCAGCTGCCTTATTCCTTCTAGAAGCTTTTCACAGGACTAAACACTGAAAACCCTCATCTCACATTTCCTGAACAAAACAAGAACAAAAAAGCAATAATATTCACTGCAACGAAAATAAATGCTTTAACTAGATTCCTCAGAATAAATTTCAGTACAAAAAGTCCCAAAGCAGAAGACTGCAGATGCTTATTATAAGAAACAGAAAGAGATTTGAATCAAGGGAGAGAGTCCAACTTCCTTGGTAATAAGACTTAATATTGCTTTTTTTTTTTTTTTTTGGTCTTTTTGAGACAGGGTCTCCCTGTAGCCCCAGCTGGCCTGGAACTTACTATGTAGACCAGGCAGGCTTTAACTCACAGAGATCTGCCTGCCTCTGCCTCTCCAGTGCTGGGATTAAAGGTGTGCATCACCACACCCAGCAATTTTTCTTTTTAAAACTCTTGGAATGAGGTATTTTTGTTTTTGTTTTAAGACAGGGTCTTACTCTGTAACTCAAGCTGGCCTCAAACTCATAGCAATCCTCCTGCCTCAGCCCCAAAAGTTAGGGGATTACAAATAGGAGCCACCAAGCCAAGCTTTAGAATGAGTTTTAAAATTAACAGTTAAGAATTATTTTCTCAGCACTCCAGAGGCTGAGTCAGGCAGATGTCTGTGACTTTGAGGCCAGCCTGGTGAGGGTATCACATGGTGGGAGAGAGTTCACTTTTGGAACAATACCTCTCCAATATCCTATAAATCCGTGAATGACCCCATCATCTCCTAACACCACCACCTTCCAACACTGTTGACATATGACTTTGGGGATTATATTTTAAACACATGAATTAGGGGGGACATAGCCAAGCCACACAGAAAAAGAAGAAAACAAAAGTGACCCTGACAGACATGAAGCAGAGCCCTTGGGGCAACAGCTGCCAGCTTGGCCTGCGCACGTAGAGCCTGTGCTTTGCTGACTGCTTCACTGAAAGATGGATCAATAGGTAAAGGTGCTTGCTGCCAAGCCTGACAACCTGAGTTCAATCTCATGCCCCACATGATGAAGGGAGAGGAGTGACTCTCACAAATTTTCCTCCGACCTCCACACATATGCCGTGGCACTCACCCCCACCCTTACCCACATGCATGCACACACACAAATGAATAAATAAATGTAATAAGGGAAAGTTTTAAAGCTGCTGCATTTTTCCCTTTATAATGAAAATAGTATGTGTGTATTGCTAAGCCATCTCCAAAAGTGACATGGTTTAGATCTTATTTGAAGAAATCGATTTTGAAAAGGTATCCATGATATTATCTGGGGAAATTTGAACACGTTAGATATTTGATGATATGAAGGAAGAATTGTTTAGATATAACATTAATTTTGTAGTAGGCTAAAAATATCTTAGATAGAAGTAACAATGTTTATAAAAAGAGATTGCATATTTCCATACATTCCATAATGGGTTAAGATTGGAGTTAAATGTCAAAATAACTATGGAAGGACAGAGGTGTGAAAAATTGGGGGACAAGTTCCTCTGTGAACATTTTTACTGTAATGTCACTGTCGCTCCTAGAATGTGGGAAATAGTGGGTGTTGCCTTGTAACTGTTAACAGCAGGATGTGAACTATGATGTCTGGTTCCCTCACTTCAGTGCCATCATAGAACACACCAACCGGGTCATCTTCCTGGAAGATGATGACATCGCCGCAGTGGCCGACGGGAAACTCTCCATTCACCGAGTTAAGCGCTCAGCTAGTGATGACCCCTCTCGAGCCATCCAGACTTTGCAGATGGAACTGCAACAAATCATGAAAGGCAGGTGTCCTCTGTGCAGGGCTGGGGGCCAGGTCCTGACACACTCTCTGCCCTGCCCTGGGTGTGGGGGGGTCATAGGGTCATAGCTTTTCTACCCACCGTGACTACTGGGATAGACTGCAGGTGGCCTGTGGCTTAAGGAGCAGAGAGGCTGTGGAGAGCTTGGTAGAACATATCTGATGGGGGACCTCTGTGTGTCTGTCACCTGACTGTCTGGGGTGCATTCCTATACCCCAGTCCTCACTTGTCCTCCCCGCAGGATTCTGCAGTAATGGGCACTGTGGACCACTTTCTTCCTCACACACATACCCTGTGTCCCTGAACTCCTTTCTATTGTGTGTGTCTTTGAGCTTGTTTTTTTTCTTTGATGGGGGCTTGTTTTAGAGACAGCATGTCACTGTGTAACCCGGGCTGGCCTCAAACTCATGATCATCCTGCCTCAGCCTCCCAAGTGCTAGATTACAGGTGTGTCCCACCGTGCCTTGCTCTTCTGCACCCACTTTTGCCTCAGCAATCCCCACTGCACAGGGCAGCCTGAGTAACATTTTGAGAACGTGAATCAGACCTTGCTGTTCTCTTGCTGCCTAGAGCCTTCCAATGGCTTCCCACCGTTATCACCGTAACAGCCCACCTCCCAGGGCTAGGGAGATGGCTCACTGAGTAAAGTGTTCACTAAAGTTGGTATAGCCCATGCATCTATAATCCCAGCACTGGGAGGTAGAGAAAGGTGGATCCCCAGAGCTCACTGGACAGCAGCCTAGCCGAATCAGTGAGCTCCAGGTTCAGGAAGGCTGGAGAGATGGCTCAGCAGTTAAGAACACTGACTGTTCTTGCAGAAGATCCCGTTCGAATCCCAGCACCCACATGGCAGCTAACAACTGTCCATAACTCCAGTTCCAGGGGATCCGACAGCCTCTTCTGTCCTCGGGCATTGCACAACATGGATGCACTTACACACCTGCAGGCAATACACTCATACACATAAAATTTAAAAATATTCTTTATGTGTGATATGGTCCATTTCTAATGCAATAATGAAAATGCCAGCTCAAATTTTTTAAGAAGCATTCTGTATAACCAAATTGATTAGATAAGAAACCATAGGTTAATTAACAAAATGTACCTGGCATAAAGGAACATTTTTTTAAAACTAGGAATATTTCAGGCTGGGAAGATGGCTCAGTCAAGTGCTTGCTGCGCAGGTATGAAGACATGGCACATATCTGTGGTCACAGTACTGGGTACATGAAGACAAGGACCTCTGAGCTCTGGCTAGCCAGCCTAGCCAAGTCGATGAGCTCCATTTTCAGTGAAAGATGCTGTCTCAAAAAATCAAATAGTCACTAAATAAATCTTAAAAAAAAAAAAAAAAAGAAGTGGGGTCTGGAAAGATGGCTCAGTGGTTAAGAGCACTGACTGCTCTTGCAGAGGACCCAGTTTGATTCCCAGCTAATAAAATATTTTTTTAAAAAAAGGTGGCAAGTGATTGAAGAATATATGCAATGTTGACCTCCAGGCTACGCCTTGACACACACACACACACACACACACACACACACACCCCTGCACACACATACTAAACTCCCTGCTACAGCCCACAGTCACCAACCCCCTGAGTCAAACCTGGCCCCACCACACTCAGCCCTTTGCCTGCCATGCCCCACTGGCTCTGGCCAAGCTGCCTCACCTCACTGTTTCTCAGATAGGCTGACTGCCTGATCAGCTGGGGTCCTTGCATTGACTATCTGAATGATCAGACTAGGTCCTTTCAGTCATCCAAGTGTCCCTGGAACATCCCCTGAGAGAGCCCTCTTTGATTCTTTATCTGTCATGACCTGTCCAGACTTCTCTCCCCCACAATAACCTTCTTGCTTGATTTATTTGCTTGATGGTACTTTTAATATAAGTGATTTGCTGAAGGCAGCACACAAAACATTGCCAGCCTGCCTCTGGCCACCTCCAAATATTCAGTGCCATCCGCTCAGGGCCCTGTAGTCAGATCAGCTCTGTCAATCATCTGATCCCATTCAGATCTAAACATATACTGGTGGAAATTCTTTTCTTTTTCACAGAAGCAAGGAGGCTATTTATTTTAAGAGAAATTTCTTTGGACTTGCTTAATTTGTACTTCTCTAAGAATGTGGTGTTGGGAAGGAAAGCATTTTATTTAGAGCTGGCTTTGCTAAGGGGAGTGTGGCCCAGAGCGACAGCCTAGGCTATCTGTTCTTCCATAGCAAAGCCCATCAAGAAGACTCAAAGCTACAGGGTCTAATACATAGGCTGGAGGTGATCACTGTGCCTGACCCACTTCTGCCTTGTTCTCATGCCATCAGGCAGATGACACTGCACACACCCTTTAGCATCTGTATGGGGCTCTACAGGTGATGCTGTCATGTGTCATGGTTACGTCTTGGCAAAAGTTATGATGCAATAGAGGTTAAGCCTTTAACCAGGCTTTTTGTGGTTCAAAGTTAGTCAGTGGGAATGTATCTAAATTAAAATTACTTACCTCGTTTACATTTATCTGACCAGGTAACTTCAGTGCATTTATGCAGAAGGAGATCTTCGAGCAGCCAGAATCCGTTTTTAATACCATGAGAGGTCGGGTGAATTTTGAGACTAACACAGGTAATCCTCAGTAGGAAGCCCCTGCCTATGTCCTGTTCCAGTGGATGTAGTCATATGTATAGTCAGCATTAACATCCTGCTTTGATCCTGCAGTTCTCCTGGGTGGCTTGAAGGACCATTTAAAAGAGATTCGACGATGCCGAAGGCTCATTGTTATCGGCTGTGGAACCAGCTACCACGCCGCTGTGGCTGTAAGTGCAACACACCCAACCTTTGATGGCACCAGGAAACTAGCAGCAGTCAAGGCTGAGACACTAGTCATAAATATGTTGTGCACTGGCCTCTGAATTCGGCCAGGCCTTAGTATTCATTAACAGGAGCTTGAGAAAGTTTGCACTGGGCCCTTTCTTCTGCAAGGTGGCCTGGGAGTGTGGAAGTTCCCACACTACCTGGACGACAAAGCACCAAGTCACAACACAACTGTCCTTAGAAGCCCAGCTGCCCTTTGTCCCTATAGGGCCCATGACTGACTTTAGTCTTCATTCTTTTTGGCTTCAGACACGACAAGTTTTGGAGGAACTTACTGAGCTCCCTGTGATGGTTGAGCTTGCCAGCGATTTTCTGGACAGGAACACACCCGTGTTCAGGGACGATGTTTGCTTTTTTATAAGCCAATCAGGTAAGGGATACAGGTTTCATGACCAGGTTTGCATTGATTCAGCTCCAGGCTGTCTTCTCTCTGTACCTTATCAGGTATACCACCCTCTCTCTTCTTCCACTAATCCTCTGTGCCTCTGCCAGGCCACACATTGTCTCATGCATCAGGTCATTTAACTCTTAAGAGCATCAGTTACTGTCGACATTGTGTGATGTATGACTGTCCCTACAGAGATGTGAACAAACATCTTTCTATTCCACAAAGAGCATGGAAGGCAAACCAAAGAAATCATTCCACCCAAGTCTAGCTCAGTAAACCAGTGAGTTTATTGAGGTTACTTTCCAGGAGTTTGGGTGAGGGGTTACTTACAAGACAATGGGTGACTCAAAGGCAGCTGCATCACATCTGGGTGACAGCTGCATTCCTGGGGCTCCAAGGGAAACTGAGCAGCTGACCCGGCCCCAGAGTCTCCTCTCCCCAAGCAATTGTTACCCCTGTGTAATTTGGGGGCTCTGAATATTGTGACTTTCAGGAGTTTCCTGAGCCTTTTACATTTCATTGACTTCCTGGGTCTTGAGCTCCCTCCTAGAGGGGATGTTTCAATTAGGAGGACAGCTGTTCAACATATGGGGAGGCCACATGACATCAAAGGCCCTGTAGTCAGGGTGTGATAGAACTGAAACTGAGCAGGGAATCCAAGTCCACTGGTTTATCTCTGCCCTGTGGCATCTTCCATTCCAAGCTTCCTGCCAGCACTTCAGAGAACACTCACCAAGGTGCTCATAAATGTTTCCTGGGTTTAGTTTAGCCATGAAAAAATTCCCTCTCAGAATTCTATTAGGTTGGGAGTCAACCATGGGCTCTGCCCAAGCCCTAGGGGCTTGCTGTGTGCAGTTTCCATGCTGTCCAGCAGGGGGAAGCAAGTAGAGGCTCTGGTTGAGGAAGGAGGCTTTCCCCAGCTGAGCGAGCCTGCATCTTCACACTATGTAAGAGCAGGTGCTGTAGCTGAGGGGTCCTCCTGGAGCTTTAGGAGGACTTTTGAAATGTTTTAATTATGGACATTCAAACCTTTATACAAACAAGGATATTCAAGTAATGACTGGTTTAACCTCAGAAATGACCAACCCGGCCAACCTTGGGTTTTCCAGGTGTGCATTCACCTGTCCCCATCTCCCAAACATCATGTCCGTAGATGCTTCAGAATGTGGACCAAAAATGATAAGACATGGAACCACATGTCATTACCACAGCTGAGTTGACAGTACTGCTCTGATATCATACTAGGTTTTAATACTGTCTGCATTTTGAATTTTGAATACCATTTCCATTTTTATGGCAAGCCAAGAAAACCTAATCCAGATGTACCCACCATCCACCTGATTGCCTTGTCATTTGGGAGTTGCTTTAGTGGCCTTTAGATTAACAGTAACAGCAAACAGGCGAGTTTCATGTGAAAACTGTGCAGTGGCAGCCCTTGCGTCTCTAGACAGCAATGGCTGGCTCTTTAATGACATTCAAACAAACAATAACTACCCATTTGAGCTGTCAAAATTAGGGAGGATGATGCAGGCAGCACCATATTCCTCCTTTTCTTTCTGCCCTCTGCAACCTGTGATTGACTTAGGGTCACATGCAGCAAACCCAGAGGTCAAAGAGGAATCAGACCTTCTGGAAGCACTTGGTGGCCAATTTTCAGGTAGCTGGAAAGAAATTAATTTAAGCACAACCAAGAACAGTGGCCATGTGGATGAACAATCTGGAGACTATGGATTCACTGGCTTTGGTTTTATGCCCTGCTTCATATTTACTTTAGCTTGAGCTGTTTAATACTGATAGAACTTGGCATTGGAGTTGGCTTATACAGGAACCTGTTGAAGGAGCTTTATTAGAAATATTTTGAGTCCAACTGGGAGGCTGCAAAAAGGATTTCTTTCCAAACAAGTTCTGTTTGAGAAGCATCACATGGGCCAGTCTTGCTTTTTAAATGTTGACTCTTTCAAAGCTCAGCACATTCTGACACAGGCAGCTTTGAGTCCTAGAAAGGGCAACCGGAGCCAGCTGCAAGGCCTGGATGGAGATAGGAGTCTGCCTTTCTCCCAGCTGCTCACTGTAAAGGGAAATGAGGAACGCCAGTCCCATGGAGTTGGCTTGATTAGGGTTCAAGAAAGTGCCTAACACAAATAGCAATGAATTCTTGAATCCAAGAAACAACAGAAAAGATATTTCTTCGCCTGCTTTTCTTTTCCGAAGACTGACTAGGCTGAGTCTTGGGCATGGGTTTCCACTTGGGAGAAAGAGTTAAGGAAGTGTGGAGAGGAGGTGGAGTGTGAGCTGGCAGAGACCCTGCACTTGCAGACACTCACTGACATCGCCCCCATGTGGCAGGTGAGACTGCAGACACGCTCCTGGCATTGCGCTACTGTAAGGACCGTGGTGCACTGACTGTGGGCGTCACCAACACTGTGGGCAGCTCCATCTCCCGGGAGACCGACTGCGGAGTCCACATCAATGCAGGGCCAGAGATTGGGGTGGCCAGCACCAAGGTAGGAGTTGCCTGTGCTCCTAAGGGCGAACCTGGGGGAGGGCATGGACTGGAGAGATGGCTTCTCTCTTTTGAAACCGCTCCCTCTCTTCCTCTTGCACTTCCTCATCCTCTCCCCCCACCTCCATCTCTTCATTTTATTACATCGTTTTTTTCCATGTTGTTTTAGCTCTTCTGGCTCCTCTAACACCTTTGAGACAACAGTCTTTTAAAAATATTTTATTCATTATTTTTATTTTATGTGTATGAGTGTATTGCCTGCATGTGTGTAAGTGCACCCATGTCGTGCCATGCCCATGGAGTTCAGAAGAGGCTGTCAGATCCCCTGAAGCTGAAGTTTCAGGCAGTTCTTGGCTGCCATGTGGGTGCTGGGAATTGAACCCAGGTCCTCTATAAGAGCAATCAGTGCTCTTAATTGCTGAGCCATCTCTCCACCCTGGAGACAACAGTCTTAAGGTCTTCCTGGTCTCTCCTTTGTCCCCAGGCTTACACCAGTCAGTTCATCTCTCTGGTGATGTTTGGTTTGATGATGTCTGAAGACCGAATTTCTCTACAGAACAGGAGGCATGAGATCATCCGGGGCCTCAAATCTTTACCTGGTATGTTGCAGAACTCAGCTTTGTGTATTTCTAAATTCATGAAGCTCTTTTTGGTCATTCTCTTCCTTGACTTTCTCCTGTAAAGAATGCTGTTGATGACTCCTTTCTAGAACTTTCTACCAATGTTTCTCCCTGCCCATCTCCCCAGGAGATCCTGCTGGGCCAAGATTTAAAGCATTGGAACAGGTCCTGGAGTGCTGTACGCTGCACCTCTCTTACATCTGACTTCATCCCTGCTCCCTTCTCCCTGGACTTTCCCAGCCCCTAAATAACAAGCTGATCAGTGACAGATGTTTACCCCTAAATAAGCAAAGTTAGCCAGGCCCTTCCAAAGAAACAACAGCACTGGTTGCCAGTAATAAAGGTCACACTTTCAACCATGACTTATAATATTGATATCTACCATCATGAGTTTAACCATGTCCCAGATTTTGGAAACTTTTCTAAGATCATGATGATTTTAACAAAGATGTTTTCTAATCTATTTTGTAAAGAAATGTGCCCATTTTTAGAAGGTTTGTCAAGCTTTGGGGCCTTTGGATGTCACAAAATTTTGCAGGTGCGAAAGAGCCATTTAAAGTGCAAAGAAAAGGCTGGAGAGATGGCTTAGTAGTTGAGAGCATTGGCTGCTGTTGCAGAGGACCTGGTTCAGTTCCCAACACCCACTTGGCCTCAAACAGTTGTCTGTAACTCCATTCCAGGGGATCCAGCGCCCCCTTTGGCCCATGCAGACACTGCATGCCCTGTGGTGCACTTGCATGCATGTAGGCAAAACACTCATAAAATAACAATAAATAAAAAAGTTTAAAGTGCAAAGCAGAACAGTACATTTCAATGTAATGAAGTAGAAAAACTTAATTGAGATTTCAGATTCCATATTTTCAACTCTGCATTATAACAAGCTTCTTGTATTTGATCCAGTACCAAAGAAAAACATTTCTAATTACTTGAAAAATTTTTAATTCCTAATTTTTCCTTTAAGGCAGAGTTACATAACTATACCTCAACAACAACAAATATAACAGAGTTATGTAGACACAGATATGCACATAAACTCCTCTATTAAAAAGTCAGACATAGGGGCTAGAGAGATAGCTCAGCGGTTAAGAGCACTGACTGCTTTTGCAGAGGACCCGGGTTCAATTCCTAGCACCCACATGGCAGCTGCGAACCGTCCTTAACTGCAGTTCCAGGGGAATCCAAAGCCCTCTTCTGACCTCCACAGCATTGCACGACATGGGTGCACTCACTTACATGCAGGCAATATACTCATACACATAAAATAAAAATAATAAAGTTTTTTTTTAAAAGTCAGACGTTAAAAATGCATATAAAGATGTTGGGGCTTGGAGTGGTAGAACAGGTCTTTAATCCCAGCACTCAGGAGGCAGAGGCAGATGTCTCTCTGTGAGTTCAAGGCTAGCCTGGTCTACATATTGAGTTTCAGGCCAGCTGGGGCTACAGGGAGACTCTGTCCCAAAAAGACAAAAAAAAAAAAAAAAGTTGGCTGATGAGATGGCTAAGTTGGTAAAGGTGCTTGCCACAAAGCCTGATGACCTGAGTTTGATTCCCAGAACCCATATGCAAGTTGTCTTCTGACCTCCATATGTTCACCATGGCACGAAATCACCCACCCATGTAACTACACAGACACACATGCTAAATAATAAATGTAATTTAAAAATTTAAAAGTTGTTAAACGGGTTGGAGAGATGGCCTGCTGTTAAGAGCACTGGCTGCTCTTGCAGAGGACCCAGGTTTGATTCCCAGCACCCACATGGTGGCTAACAATCATGTACAACTACAGTTCCAGGGGCTCCAATGCCCCCTTCTAGCCTCCTGGGGCATTGCATGACACAGGTGCATTTACACACATGCAGGCAATACACTCATACACATAAAAATTAAAACTAAAATATTTTGAAAGATACTGAACAATAACATTCTTCTCACTCAATTTTTCCAGACAATATAGTATTATCATAGGTTTATTATTGTTATTTTCAAATGAATTAATAGATTTTTAAAAAGTTTTTAGTGTTATTTTCAAATCTTGTAAATATTGAGAGATAACTCATAAAAACAAAGGCTCTTGGGGATTCATAATAATTTTTAAGAGTATAAAAGAGTCCTGACACCAGAGAGTTTGAGCACCATGGGTCTAACTTACACTGGCTTTGCCTTGAGACCCAGACCAGGGCAGAGAACTGAGTGAACTTGGAATGCCAGTTCTGTGGCTGGTCAGAGGGTGATTTTGTCTCTCTGAGCCTTGATTGCTTTTCTGTGAAATAGAGCTGGAGATTAGTTCCCCGCCTACGTTATAGATGCTCATAAACATATTCACACAAATAGGAATTGCCATCCCAACAAATTACTGGCCAATAACCCAAGTTAGCACCCATGATCTAAGTTTAAAGTCCTTCTAAAGTAATGCAAGGAAGCAAAGTATCCTAAGTGATACGAGGTCCAAAACCTTGTTATAGCCTATCGTTTTCCTTTTGAATATTGCTTTGGACTCAGAATGACCGACTCTCTCTCCCTCTTCTGTGCATTGCATAGAGCTGATCAAAGAAGTATTGTCACTGGATGAGAAGATCCATGACCTGGCCCTGGAGCTCTACACACAGAGGTCACTCCTGGTGATGGGGCGGGGCTATAACTATGCCACATGCCTGGAAGGAGCCTTGGTGAGTCCCTCTTTGCCCAGCCTCCACCTCCAACAGCCAACTGGACAGCCCCCTGGACAACATGAGGGCAGGCTTAGAAAATGCTGTGAGAAACCAGTGGGAAGGAAGACAGGATGTAGAGCATTGGGAGTGAATGGCTGGCAGACCCTCCTGGCACCTTCATGAGCCTGCACCCTGGGGTTCCAGAAATAAGTGAGGCAGGTATTGGTCCCCAGAGTGTTTTCAATCTACTGGGGAAAACAGATCACCCCTGGGTGAAGCCCCTTGAGGTGCCTGGCCTTTCAGTTTGATCCCCAGAACCCATTTAAACAGCTGGGAATGGTGGTATGTGTTTGTAATTCCAGCACTGGGAGGTGGAGACAGGAGGAACCGTGGGGCTCACTGGCCAGCCAGTCTAGCATAATTGGGGAGCAATAGGTCTCAGTGAGAAACCTGTCTCAAAAAACAGTGGATGGCTTTTGAGGAATGACACCAAGGTTGACCTCTGGCCTACACACACACACACACACACACACACACACTCAAAGAGATTGCATGGAGGAACTGATTCAGCTTCAAGTCTACTACTGCAAGCAGCCTAGAGGGGAAGGTCTTTTGCGAGTTGAGAATTGCAAGGTGAAGACTCCCTAGGTCTTCCTTATAACCCTCGAACTTCTAAGTGAGGAAGGACTTGAGCTCCTACAGGAATGAGCCGTGAAGGCTCTTTTTTTTTATGTGTATGTGTGTATTGCCTGCATGTAGGTAAGTGTACCCATGTCGTGCAATGCGCACGGAGATCAGAAGAGGCTGTCAGATCCCCTAGGACAGTTGTTAGCTGCCGTGTGGGTGCTGGGATTTGAACCCAGGTCTTCTGTAAGTACAATCAGTGTTCTTAACTGCTGAGCCATCTCTCCAGCCCTCGGCCCTGTATTTTTTTAAAATTGGTGACTGACTGCTTTACCCCCTGAGGCAATATATTACCAATGTGAGAATGCAGATTCTTTTTCCCCTTATGTTTACTGGTTTATTGTGAAAGTTATGACCAAGGCTACTGATGAACCCCAATGTAGAAATAGATGCACAAATTGACTTATCCAGGATGGGCCATGGAGTTTCCCTGCCCCCTCCCTGAGTGCTCCACCCACCTGGAACAATCCGTTCAGTTCAGCAATCCAGAAGCCTGCTAGTATCCTTTTGTGTTTTTATGGAGGGTTCCTTACATAAGTTTAATTGATTCAGTCATTGGCCACTAATGATCAACTTAGCCTTCAGCCCCTGGTCACCTCCCCAAGGATGAGGTTTCATGAAACAGAAAATCCCAACCTTCTCCTGCCTTGGTCTGTCTAGCCAGTGAAGCCCTATCCTGAAGCTACCCAGGAGCTCTAGCCATCATTAATGTGGGGTGTGCAGTACAGCCTATCATGGTGGGGAAGGCGTGGAGGCAGGAGCTTGAGGTGGCTAGTCACATGAATTAAGAAAGGTAAAGGTTGGTGCTCAGCTTACTGAAAGTCATTCATAGTTAGGGTGGGTCTTCCTGAACCTCCATTAACCCAATCTGGAAACTCTCACCGACATGCCCAGAAGTTTGTTTCTATGGAATTTTAAGTCCCACTAAGTTGACGAGCAGGCTTACCCATTAGTGTATTTCATAGCATCTCAGTCAGTGCCTGAACTGTGAACTCTGGTCACTTACAGGATTCTGAGTCCTGCCTAAGGAACCGAGAGCCTAGTATTCAGGGGCACAGGAGAAGCAAGGCCTGGGTGGGGTACACGTTCAGCCCCTTGATAGTTCTGCTGCCCAGCTTTTTTAGGGGGTGTCAGCTGCAGCAGCTAAGCTGGTAAAAGATGTGCATTCAACTGTGTCTGCAAGTTAGTCTTTGGGGAAAGAAAGGAGTGTTTAGGCTGCTGCTGGCACAAGTCAATGGCCCCTGTGTGGTCACTTGGAGGCTAGCATACCAGCTGTCTATGTTCTTTAAGGAGGAGCCTTGTTCCTTACAGTGTTTGCCTGACCCAAATAACTAGGTCTAGACATGTGAAGGGATGTTTTCTTTAACTTTCTTATCAGTGCAGTGATGTAGACTTTGGTAGCTAAGTGGACATGGGTGTACCAGAACATCGAAAAAAAGTCAAATAGCAGCCTAGGGTGTGGGCGTTTACTAGATCGGTCAGCTGAAGCAACTCTGTAGATGTGATTAAGGGTCTATAATTGGGAGAATGATTAATCAGCTAATTGAATGAGGGCATATCTAGGCAGAATACAATGCCACCATTATGCATGGGATCTTTGGGGAGATACCGCGTGGCTGGCTAAGGAGGGGGAGAAAGCAACCTAGATGGATGCTGACTTTCTGTGAAAAGGGAGTAGCCATGCATGGAACTGAGGAGAGTTGCCACTGCCCTGCCTGGGGGCTGATCTGGGGACACAAGGCTGCTAGGCGAGCTTTGCGCACATCCCGGACAGCAGCCCAGCCTCTCTACTGGCCCTGGGCTTTCCCTTGCTGCTGTTGAGCCATATATAT